GACGGGGCCGCAAGGGGCGGCGACGGGGCCGCTGGAGGCGGCGACGGGGCCGATAGGGGCGGCGACGGGGCCGTTAGGGGCGGCGACGGGGCCGCAAGGGGCGGCGACGGGGCCGCTGGAGGCGGCGACGGAAACTGCAGGCGGGTGCCGTACTGTGCCCATGTCTCCTGCCAGAACTTTGACGTAAATTTCGGGTCCCAATCGCTGATGATCGCCGAACGTAACCCGTGTAGTCGCACGACGGTCGAGATGAAGAGCTTCGCGGTCTCTTCGGCTGTAATCGTCGTACGGCAGATTGGAGTCGTGTACTTCCTGCGTCCACCGGATTTGTCGCGGGTTGAGCTGTGGTTGGCTGCGCATGTACTGTAATGACTTGTGGTCTGTCCTGATCGTGACGTCGACTCCCGTGAGGTAACAGCGCCAAGTACAAAACGCATGCACGATGGCGAGCATTTCTTTGTCGTGTACAGGGTAGTTGCGCTCGGGTGGCTGCATTTTCCTTGATTCGTACGCGATGGGTTGCAGCCCGTTGCCGAAGTCCTGTAGGAGGACGGCGCCGACGGCGAAATCGCTGGCGTTCGTCACGACTTCGAACGGTCGAGATATGTGAGAATACGCAGACGTTCGACATATTTCTCATTTCCATATTTTTACTCCATCTTATTCTCCATATTTTCCTCTTTCATTTGCACCTTATTCCACCTCAATCGGACTATTATTCTATTTTCTAGAGCTTTCCGATTATTTCACTTATTTGGCATTTTCGACACCGACATTTACATAATACGGCACCGACAGCACCGACAGTGGTGTACAAGGCGTAATCCTGCCATAATCCAATGTGCCAATGGGCTTGCGTGCTTATGCGCACTTGTGATGATCTATTCTAGAAGAGCGCGTTCCCGAAGGTTCGGATTATCTGTTGTTTCTATGTATTTCTGAGTATAAAAAGGCCTTGTACTCACCTTTAGTGCAACATTCTCGAGTGGAAATTCGATCCTGTGACACTTGATACTCTGAGCCGTTTCTACTCGCGGAGTTTCAGCTAAGCAGGGCGCTCAAGAAATTCCTGCTTCGAAAAACCGCCGGGGGCGACGAATTCGGCGCCGACGCTTGTAAGCACCAGATTCTGCGTTTTTTGAATAACCCCCTCGCGAGTTTTTTGAACAGGATCATGAGCTCGATTGTTGGCGAAAACGTTTGCGATACAGCGACGCCAAGCGTCCGTCAGGCGGCCAAAGCAGCGCTGGGTGGAGTGCGCACCCCCGCACTGCTCACCCGCGCGGTCGCCGGTGCGGAGGACGTAGGTGCACGGACCAGTACCCCCACCCCTCTGGCGTGCAGCGTACCACTCACGGAGCGGCTGAGGGGAGGGGATGTCACGAGTGCGCTGCTGCTGGCGCTGACCACCACCGGAGCCGACTCTCTGCGCAGCGCCACCCCGACCAGCTCCACCTCCTCCGCCGCCTCCTCCTCCACCGCCGCCACCTCCGCTCCCACCGCCACCGCCGCCGCCGCCTCCGCCTCCACTGCCACCACCGACACCTCCACCCCCGCCACCACCCCCACCGCCACCCCCACCCCCTCCACCGCCTCCACCGCCGCCTCCACCGCCCCCGCTAGCTCCTCCAGTGCCCCTGCCCCCCTTGCCCTTGCCAGGGCGGCGTCTCCCGCTAGGGGTAGACGCCGCACCGACCGACTCAAGCCCAACGAGGTCGGCCGCAGCAGCAGAGGCAACAGAGGGCAAAAGGGGGGAGGGGGAACACCCCTCAAAGATGGGGGTGCGAGGGTCACCACGAGAGGCTCCTACAGCTACTATGCTCTTCTCTGCTGCTAGGAGGGACTTCTCGAGGAGGTCAACGGTGAGAGTGGTGGGGCAAACAGAGAGGAAGTGGTCCCTGACTACGCGAAGGGAGTCAGGGAGCCGGGTGACTATGTAGTAGAGGGTGATGTACATGGGGGGGGGGTTCTTGGCGCAGAACTCTGCAGGAAGCGCAGCGCGGTAGCGAGTGTCACTAGTGCGGAGGTGCGTAATGAGGTCAGCGACTGTGGGAAAGGCAGCAAGGTCAGGGAAGAGGTACGGTAGCATGAGGCGGCTAAGTGCAGCAGTGGCAGGGGAGGAGTAGCGCGCAACTACAGCGTCGTACAAGGTCTGAGCACTCTTGTACTGGCTAAAGTGCGCACGCTCAGAGGTAGGTAGGTGGCGACGCACAGCAAGACGTGCAGCAGCATCGCGCGTGGCCCACTGGGAGCGAACAGTGGCGTCAGCAGCAGCAGCGGGGGCAGGAGAGGCACCAGAAGTGAGGTCAAAGAGGGAGAGGCCGTCTGCCCTGTCGCACTGTAAGAAAAGCTGCAGGTCATCTATCCAGACGTCAAAGTCAATGGCCCGACCCTCAGCGTCAAAAGCGAGGACACTAGGGGTAGCCATGACAGCAGTAGACTAGCAGCGCAAACAGTAGGGTGAGGGCAGTGCTGTGAAAGGGGCGCTGCTCTTACCGGACAGGGCGGCTCGGGTGGCTCGGCTGTAGGGCGGCTCGGCGGCTCGGTTGCTGGGCGGCTCGGCGGCTCGGCTGCTGGGCGGCTCGGCGGCTCGGCTGCTGGGCGGCTCGGCGGCTCGGCGGCTCGGCTGCTGGGCGGCTCGGCTGCTGGGCGGCTCGGCTGCTGGGCGGCTCGGCTGCTGGGCGGCTCGGCTGCTGGGCGGCTCGGCTGCTGGGCGGCTCGGCGGCTGGGCGGCTTGGCTGCTGGGCGGCTCGGCGGGGCCGCTGAGAGGGCGGCGTCCGGGGCCGCTGGGAGGAGGCGGCGGGGCCGCTGAGAGGAGGCGGCGGGGCCGCAAAGGTAGGTGGCGGGGCCGCAGGTAGGTGGCGGGGCCGCTAGTAGGTGGCGGGGCCGCATGTAGGTGGCAGGGCCGCTGGTAGATGGCGGGGCCGCACAGGCAAGTGGCGGGGCCGCGGAGGTAGGTGGCGGGGCCACACAGGTAGGTGGCGGGGCCGCGGAGGTAGGTGGCGGGGCCGCACAGTGAGGTGGCGGGGCCGCGAAGGTAGGTGGCGGGGCCGCACAGGTAGGTGGCGGGGCCGCGGAGGTAGGTGGCGGGGCCGCACAGTTAGGTGGCGGGGCCGCGAAGGTAGGTGGCGGGGCCGCACAGGTAGGTGGCGGGGCCGCGGAGGTAGGTGGCGGGGCCGCACAGGTAGGTGGCGGGGCCGCGAAGGTAGGTGGCGGGGCCGCGTAAGGTGGCGATGGGCGCGACGGGCGCGACGGGCGCGACGGGCGCGACAGGCGCGACGGGCGCGACGGGCCGAAAGGGCGGCGCGAAGGGCCGTAGGGGCGGCGCGACTCGGGCCGGAGCAAAACGCGCTCCGGGCAGGAAAAAAAATAATTTCGTGGTGGTGGGCCCTAGGAATCGTTCCCACTAGGGAACCTGCTCGATACCATGAGAAGAAACGAGGAATCAAATGACTAAGGGAAAGTTGGGTACAAATGCAAACCCTAGAAAACTGTACCCCATATGTGCTACCCCACTATAGCATACAGTAGCTATGTCATATAAATCTGACAATTCAATGATTAGTTGTTCTTGAATATTTAAATTCATTGAGGTATTTGCTTGCCTTCATATTACCTTATATAAATGTAAGGATTTTTTTCCCCTTACTTCGCATCCCTGCTTACCGCGTACACGAATGTTCCCGCCACAATACCCCCAACAGTAAACCGTTACCACTTCGCGACACCCGTCTCGACCAGCGTTCCCACTACTGTTCCTAACGCGACCCAATCTTACGGCTCGGCTGGTAATCCGCGCTCCGGTCCTCCGCCTAGAAAATTCCCAACCTCGGCGCCAGGCCCGTCGCGCACCCCACAATCCGTTTGCCACATTAGTTTACTATCTAAAATTCGCTCATTCCTTCGCTCAATGTACTGAGTTACTTAGTGCAATCTTAGTTAGTTCACTCAATTGCACTTGTAACAATATTAAATTTAGAGATCGCTTGATTTGCGTTGACTGTGTTGAAGCAGCCAAATCTCGATTGCTGGGAGCTGCGCCAACGTTTTGCTCCCCCAAGCTCCGCCTCCCCCATGACCCCATTCCCCCACCCACCCCTTCCCCGTCACCAGCTCCCCCCCGGTTTACTTGCGCACAAGGCGGTGAGGCCACACACGGCAGTGCGGTTGGGATGCCCGGCGAGGCGAGCGCATCCGCGCTGCCCCGCTGCTTTCCTTGCCAGCAGGACACCTTCTCGCTGCTCCATTGGCTCGCTTCACACTCGCTGTCGCAATTTGCCAGATGTGACACACAACGTGCTTCACGAATCACGATATGCTTTACCCTCTCGACCAGCTATGGCTGTTCAAGAAGACGACGACCAGAAAGCACCAGCGCGAGCCCGGCAAAGACTTCCCTTTGCCGCGCATCTCGCTCCGCGCCCAGCGGATGCGTTCTGCCCTGCGCGCGTGCTGCTGCTGCTGATGCGATGCGAATCACCGCCAGCGCCACCGCCAGCCGCTCACGCGTCCTTGCTCGTCTTGGCGACACCAGCGCTGCGATGCCAATGATGACAGGAGGACTAACTGGCAAGAGAGACGCCAGGCCTGTTGGTAGATTGGAGAAAGCCTACTTACAGACCGCTATTGAGCTCACAAGAGGTATAAGAAAGCGAGAGCTGGTCGTCAAATCCGTTTCTGCGAGCCCGCTTTTATATTCAAGTCACCAGGCCATTCCATCCCGCTACGATTGTGGTCAACGCGTAATAATACAATTTTACGAGAATCCCTCCCTCCGGTCAGAACTAACGATTTCCCGAATCGCCGTTTTAGACGTTTCAAGTTTAGGGTTTCCGAGAGTGACTGCACACTCTGGCGGTCGCGAAAGCTGAGAGACGCACCCCATCTTGACACCGTGCAGAGCGACTTGGCGAGCGACACTAGCAGTCGCCAGCGTTTCACCGCGGAGTCGCAGAGTCGTCGCACGCCGATACTAGCGTAGCAAGAAAGGAACTAACATGATGACGACACACGTCCGCATCCGTTCAGCCTTAGGAAATGCGGCAGTTGCAAACCCGGCAGTCTTTCCCCTCAGCCGCAGCATCGCACTCATCGTATTGATCACCGTCGCCGCAATCTTCGGAGTTTGCTCCGCTCCGCCTCCTATTTCCGCTTCGAATGCGCCCGAACGGCCTTCCGCGTCGCCGCGCCTCCGGCGGAGCCTCCGACCCCGCCTCCCCTCCGCCGTCCATGCGGAATTCTCTGCCCCCCTCACCGCCGCGCAAGCCGCGCCTTGCGGAGCTGCTGCTGCTGCGACAACCAGACGCGCTACTTTGAGCGGCGGCGATTTCCGTCGCGACGAGTCGCAGGACGCGCTGCGACGGCGCAGGCGACTGGGCAGCAAAGTCGCCGGGTGGAATCTGTCGCTGGGGCAGTACGCGCTGGCGACGAATCGCACGCGTCGCAGGGACCCGCTGAACGGGATGCGCGTGTACGAGGGCGGCTACGACCCCGCCAACCTGCACTACTGGGCCGTGCGTTCCCGCGCCACGCCTTTCACCCGCCTCACCACCACACCGCACCACACCACACACGTTTATCAAGTTGTTATTAGCGGGATTGCTGCTCTCAGTAGCACCGCACCCAGTGCTGTACTGGGAATCACTTGAGCAGGGTCCGGTAGCTCTCCCCCTTCGCGCACCGCGGCCCCCCTCCTCCTCTCCTCCCCTTCCCCCCCCCCTCCCCTTCCCCCCCCTCTTCCCACTCTCCCCTCCCCACGTCGCTCCCCCTCACCTCCTCCCTCCCTCTCCCCCTCCCCCTTCCGCTCCCCGTCCCCGTCCCCGTCCCCCTCCCCCTCCCCCTCCGCTTCCCCCTCCCTTTCCCCCTCCCTCCGCCAGTCCCTGAGTGTGACAGCGGGGTTCGGGCCGGTGATAGCGCTGCTGTGGCTGCTGCTGGGACTGGGCTTCATAGGCGGCTCGTGCTGCTGCTGCTGCTGCAGCTGCTTCCATCCTCCCCCTCCTCCCATCCTCCCCTCCTCCCCACTCTTTCCTCCCCACTTCCCTTTCCGCTCATCCCGCTCCTCCTCCCCTCCCCTTCCCCTCCCCCTCCCCCTTCCCCTCCGCTTCCCCCTCCCTTTCCCCCTTCCTCCGCCAGTCCCTGGGTGTGACAGCGGGGTTCGGGCCGGTGATAGCGCTGCTGTGGCTGCTGCTAGGGCTGGGCTTCATAGGCGGCTCATGCTGCTGCTGCTGCTGCTGCCCGCGCCACTGGGCGCGCTTGAGGGACCTCACCCGTCGCCCCTACTCGCGCGCGCGCCTCACCCTGCCGCGCATCGGCCTCGCCGTCGGCTCCCTGCTGCTGCTGTGAGTGTGCACTGTGCAACGCAGGCCATCAGCAGAGCGTTGCATGTGCCTTGGGTTGGGATTTGAACCACCGTTGGCTTATTGCTCTCGCTGCTTATTTCACTCGCTGCTCATTGCTCTCGCTGCTCATTGCTCTCGCTGCTTATTGCTCTCGCTGCTTATTTCACTCGCTGCTCATTGCTCTCGCTGCTTATTGCTCTCACCGCTGCACAAGCAGCTGTTGCGCCTCGCACCTCTCACCTCGCCACTCCCCGTAATCACACCCCACCCCTCTCCACCTCTCTTTATCCCCGCCGGCTCGACAGGGGCGGGTTCGCAGTGATGCTGGCGGGGGCAATACTGCTGCAGAAGAGCATGGGCGTGGTGAGGGACGGAGCAGTGGAGCGAGTGGGGGCAGTGGTGAACACGGTCTACAACGTGTCCCAGGCCATGGCGGGGCTTACAGAGGTGGACGTCGGTGGTAACCAGATGCCTGGTACGTGCCCTGGGTGGTGGTGTGTGGTGTGCGGTGTAGAGCGGTGCGAAGACGCGGGGAATGGTGAGGGATGGACGGAGCAGTGGAGCAAGTGGGGGCGGTGGTGAACACGGTGTACAACGTGTCCCATGCCATGGCGGGGCATACAGAGGTGGACGTGGATGACAACTAGGTGCTCGGTACGTGTAATGTGCCCTGGGTGTGCTGTGCGGTGTCGAGCGGTGGAGAGGTGTGCGGAACCGTGCGGAGCTGTGCGAGGTGCTGGCAGGTGGGGAGAGCGGGGTTGAGGTAGATGATGGGTATTGGTGTGGTGGCTGATAAGAAGCATGCAGCAGGGAAGGTGTTCCCTCAGATGATAGGTATTGATGTGGTATTGATGCGGAGTTCCTCTTTCATGTGTTCCGTCCGCCTTTCATCATCGCGCTCACGCCCATCTACTCCTCCCTCCCTCCCTCCCTCCTCCCTACTCCCTCTCCGCCCTCCCCCCCCATCATCCCCCTTGCACACAGACAGGGCGGGCGTGTTACGGCGTGCGCAGGAGGCGTGGTCGATAGCGGATGGCATGCAGAGCTCGTTCAACGGCGCCCGGGACACGGCAGACCGTGCCATCAAATTCATGTACGCGCTGCACACACACACACACGCGTGCACAGCGGGGATGGGCGACGTGTTTGTAGGTGTGTTTTGAGACGTCTCAGAACACGTCTACAAACACGGCAGACCGTGCCATCAAATAAATGTACGCGCTGCACACACACACACACGCGTGCACAGCGGGGATGGGCGACGTGTTTGTAGGTGTGTTTTGAGACGTCTCAGAACACGTCTACAAACACGGCAGACCGTGCCATCAAATAAATGTACGCGCTGCACACACACACACACGCGTGCACAGCGGGGATGGGCGACGTGTTTGTAGGTGTGTTTTGAGACGTCTCAGAACACGTCTACAAACACGGCAGACCGTGCCATCAAATACATGTACGCGCTGCACACACACACACACGTGCACAGTGGGAATGGGCGGAGGGTGGGGTGAGGGTGATGGATGGGGAGGGTTGTGTGGCTGTGTGGCTGTGTGGCTGTGTGGCTGTGTGGCGTGATGGCATGAACCATCCATAGATGGACCGCCCACCACCTCATATGCACCTTATTGCCAACCACAGCCACCCTGCCTCCTCTCACCCCACCCCCCATGTCCCGCCTGCCCCATCTCCCCCTTACCCCATCTCCCTCTCATCCCGCTCGCCCCATGCATGTCTGCATCAGGTTCATGACAATGTTCGCCATGGGAGCTGTCATCACGGCGCTGGGCGCTCTTGGCGTGGGTGAGTGCTCTCTCTTGCCCTTCAAGTGCTCTCTGTTGCCCGTCACACCACACCCACCTGTCGTACCACTCGCAACATCCATGCCTCTTCTCTTTCGTCGTCCCAACTTACCCTCTCCCTCGCTGTCCGGTTTCCCCAAAGCGCTGTCCATGCTGCTGCATCAGCACCACCATTGCCCTTCTGTCTCCCTGCTCCCCACCGTGCCGGTGTGCAGTCCTTGCGTTGATCAAGCTGGTTATCTTATCCAGCATGTAAGCATGCATGTATGCTTGCATACATGGACACTGCACAATCACATTTTCTTATGCTCACATGCGCACGCACACATGCACATGCGCGACTTCCCTTTCCATTTCCTCCTTTTCCTCTCTCTACGCCTCCCTAACCCTGTCTCTCCTTCTCCCCTCCTCCCCACGCGCCCGTGCAGCATCATCACCATCGTGTGGGTCGTGGCAGTCGTCACTTGGTGCCTCACCTCACCTCGCTCTTGAGTCGACTCAAAAGTCATCCCTGTCTCTCTGTCTACTTCCCCTCCTCCTGCTCGCCCGTGCAGCATCATCACCATCATGTGGGTCGTGGCAGTCGTCACTTGGTGCCTAACCTCGCTCTTCCTCCTCTCAGCCATGTGCGTGCCTTGTGTGCAATCACTCTCCTCGCACTGTGCCCATCACTGCATGTATATGTCTGCGACTGCGTGTGTGTGTGTGTGTGTGTGTGTGTGTGTGTGTGTGTGTGTGTGTGTGCGTGCGTGCGCGCACGCGCGCGCGTGTGTGTGTGTCTGTGTTTGCACGTGTGCGCATGCTTTTGTGTGTCATGGTGTGACGACTTTTAGTCCAATCAGTAATCGCCCTCGCCCTCTCACTGCGCGCATCGCTGCATGTATCAGCCTGCGTGTGTGCCACGGTGTCAGGCGATGCATGTCCTCCTGCTCTCGCTCCCGTGCACTCACACTCGTTGCTGCATTGCACGGATCGACTTTTGAGTCGACTCAAATATCGACTCCATGCATGGGTCGACTACATCCACTGCTGCTCTTCTCCCTCTTCCATTCCTGCAGAAGCAGGTGCTTGGCTCGCTGCCCTGCTCCGCCCAGCGTAGCCTCGCCTCCGTCCGTGTCAGCATCCTTGCTGCCAGCGCCCAGGCCACCAGCCTTGTCAACACCACGGTTGCCAGCACCTACCCCCAGGTATTGCTTGCAGGGAAAGAGAGAGAGAGAGAGCGCACCTGGAGGAACCGTGTGGGAGGGTGTAGGCGAAAGCGAGTGTGCCGCTGCCATGGATTATCCTCACATTGCGCTCCCCACGCTGCTCTCCCTTCACTGCTCTTCCCATGCTGCTCCCACCACGTGCTACCACACGTCTCCCTTCCCCAACGCCTGCTGCCCCACCAGGTGCTGCAGCAGATGCCAGGAGGACCCTACAGCGCCGTGTGTGTGCCGTACGCCCCTGCGCCCTCCTACACCCCCACCACGTGCCCTTCCACCGCCATTGACCTGCAGAGTTTCGCTGCTGTAAGCCCATGCCCACTCTCCCCCTCTTCTCACACATTCTCCTCCTCTCCCCCCTTGCGCACTCGTCTTCTCCCTCTACTCTCTCGACTCTCTCTTGCCCATCCCATCACACTCTCATTAACTCCAGCTTTATGATTCTTCTCATGTGCTTCTCATACTCGCCTCAACAAACCTCTGTGCGCACTGCTTGTATTGCTTGGCTTGTGTGCCATCCCTGCCCTTCCTCCTGACTGCCATTGCCCTGCTGTTGCTACCCTCCCCGGCGCACCGCTCCTATTTCCTCGCATGTGCACCATCCCTATCCGTCCTGTCCTGCCACTTTGTCATCTTGCCCACATCAACACACCACCCTGCCCCATTCACATGCACTCACCAGCACTCTCCTTCACCTCCCTCTCCGTGCGGCCCACTTGTATCAGAACCTGTACGGCCCGGCGAGCAGCGGCATGGCAGTGGGGGTGGTGGAGGACATAGCAGCAGTGAGCATGGGTATAGCAGCACTCAACGGTTCCCTTGCAGCTATGGGCGCCGCTGCCAACTGCTCCTACGTCCTCGACTCGCTGCATGTGGGTTAGGGGAAGAGGGGGGGAGAGAGGCATGGAGTGAGAGATGTGTGCGGGAGGTTATGGGGGGGAATGTGGGAAGGGGGGATGGGGGAAGGGAGGCGGGTGGGGGGGAGTTGGGGGGTGGGGTGAGAGATGGCATAGCAGCAATGAGCATGGGCGTAGCGGCACTCGACGGTTCCCTCGCAGCCATGGACGCCGCGGCCAACTGCTCCTACGTCCTCGACTCGCTGCATGTGGGTTAGGGGGAGGGGAAGGGGGGGGAAGGAGAGAGGGGAGGGGTTCGGGAGTTGCTTTTTGTGGCGCCTCAGAAATCTGCTCTTGTGTTTTCGACTCCCTGCGTGTGGGTCTGCGTGGAGGGGAGAGAGGGGAGGGGTTCGGGGAGTTGTTCTTCTGTGTTTGTGTGGGGGTGGAGAAAGGAGTGGGGATATGTGGGGAAGGGAGGGGGTTGCAGGAGAGGAAGAGGAGGTTACAATAAGGTTGGCAGGTGGTTCAGGAAGGGAGGATGCAGGCAGTTCCTAGTGAATTCTACGGAGGCCTCGTTTCTTTGCTCCACATTGTCACCTGTTCCTGCTACTCCCCTCCTGTCCCTCCCTCTTCTCCCCTCACTCCCCACCCTGCTTGCACAACTCTGCCTATCCCACGTCCCCTGCACGAGCACCAATTTGCCATGGACCAAGGCGGCAGCATAGAGCTAGACCTGCAGCTGCTCTGGATTGGCTTCCTCACCCTCTCCCTTGCCTGCATGCTGCTGTCCCTCCCTCTTCTCCCCTCACTCTCCACCTTGCTTTCACCACCCACCTCCCTCCCTACACAAACACCAGTATGCCATGGACCAGGGCGCTAGCTGCTAGCATAGAGCTGGATCTGCAGCTGCTCTGAACCGGCTTCCTCACCCTCTTCCTTGCCTGCATGCTGCTGTCCCTCCCTCTTCTCCCACCGCCCCCCTTGGCACAAACACCAGTATGCCATGGATCAGGGCGACCGCATAGAGCTAGACCTGCAGCTGCTCTGGATTGGCTTCCTCATCCTCTCCGTGGCCTGCATGCTGCTCGCCCTTTGCATCCCTGTTTACGTCTACCGGGCCGTGCGACTGGGACCCGAGCCTGAAAAAAAGGGCGATGCCGCCGACCCTGATAGGTATGGAAGATTCCCAGTGGGGGGGTTGAGGGCGGGGAGGGATTAGAGAGGGGGGGGGGGGGGGGAGTTGGAAGTGCACTCTGGACTTTCCTGAAGTTTCTTTCTGACAATTGCTTGAATTTTCAACAGTTAAGCCCGAACTTGGTTATTTATTTCTTTCTTTTCTTTGCTTAACACTGCTTCGCGGGATGTTTTCCCGGCCTTGCAGTTTGTACAAGGCGGGAGTGAGCAATCCTCCTGTGCCTGCTGCTGCTCCTTACATGGCATACTCAAGTGGCCCTTCACATGGCAAGATGGGTTGTCTCCCACCAGATAAGCCATGCAGCTATGACGGGAGTCAGGCCAGTGACACTTCCAGTGACACAGGGCATTCTTACAAGTCCAGGACAGGCTGTGGCAATTACGATCAGCGCTGTATGACAGGCAACTGCCCTTATTGCCCTGGATATCTAGGGAAGTTTTGAGCGACCTGGCTGAAATTCATTGGTGCGCAAAACATCAGCCATGATCTCTTAAGGGCTGATCTTGGGCTCTTCTCTGGAAACTTACCGGTGTGTTTTTAGGCCGAACCCTAATTTCCCGGGAAGTTTTCGGGTCAAGACCGGTTTTATTCTCCCTCTAACCCCCATCGCAACCAAACCAATGCACTGCAGTGGACTGCAACAGTGTTCCATAAGGCATGATACCGTATTCAAAAGACCCCGGGACTTTTGAACGGTACTGGGACTCTTAATACGGTATGTAGCACATGTGAGAGGACCCCCCTTTTTCTACAAAACATTTTAAGACCCCCCTTTTCTGTATACAGTAGTTAAAAATAAATATGCGCGTCAGCTTTTAGAGGCACAGAATCCAAAATTTGACGCGTCATCGGGTTCTGACACACCAATCGTGTCGGACACGAGATCTGACGTTTCTGACGCGCCGCTCGCGCGAATTTCGCGCATGCGAGATTTTTCGGTTCGAACATAAGACCCCCCACCCAGGGCCCAAAATATCAGGGTAAAATACCCTTTTTGCCCTTTCTGTAGGCCGCTTTTTTTCAGTTACCCTGATCAAGGCAGGCTAACCGTACAGTTACTCTTTCTTCAAATTAGTGGTTTTTTTTACCCTTTCAAAAACAGTGTAGTAGTTTCCTTTCCCTGACTAAGAAGTGTAACACAAGGGTTACTGTACCAGCGATCCGAAGAAACCCGTTTAGCCCCAGTAGACATCGCGCACGCATCAAATTTTACCCTAGGCCATCAGGGTGGGACAGGCTGAGACCGAGATTAGGCAGGGTGGCCTAAAACCAATTTTGGGCCCTGCCCCCCCCCCCCCCCCCCCCCCCCCCCCCCCCCCCCCCCCACCCCCCCCTTCAAATTCGGGTGTACACCCCTAAATCGCATAAGTGTACTTGATTAATAAGTGTACCCGGAACTCTTACAACTCGTGCCGATTAAATGTTCACCCTAGTCATTTTGCCTCTATTTTAGGAAAGTCCCCCGGGTCTTATATCCGGGAGAATACGGTAGATTACCTTGAAGTGCAATTCATTTTCAAAGCGGTTAGTTAAGACAGCCATCCGAGTTTGCCCTTTCATTTTCCGTTCTTGAATGTCTGCATGATATTGGCCCTGCTCGGCAGCACAAATGCATGTTTTGGGGAAGCGAGGTTCTTCGGACTTAAACGGGAGGTGTGGTTCCGAGCCTTGGGGCTTGTCAGCCGAAAAGCAACTTGTTGGTCTGACACCGTGGCGACACCTCAGCAGAATCTGAGGGCGTGCTCCTACGGCCTCATATCAGGAAACCTCGTATCAAGAATGTACATTTTGCCTGGTAAAACTAGCGAGAGGTTTTGGGTTGAGGGGAATTTTCAGTGTGAGCCTGATACGAGGTTTTTTTGATACGAGGTTTAGGAACACGCTCTAAGGGGTTGCCGTAGTGTGCGTGCAAAAGACACAGAAGTTTGACCAGGGTGGTGGACCCCAACGGCCAACATTGGCCAGTGAGAACGATCGCGGTCAGATAAAAACAAAGTATCCTTTCATTGGGCAGGATTTTGATGGGTGACTCGTGGCTTAGATGATTATCTGCCCGTAAGAAAAAATGCAATGAAGCGGAAGATGGCAGCTTATGTTGAAACGATGAGCAGCCATCTTCTGGCATTCCCTCTCTCTGATTGGTCCATGTCTGACTTCATTACCCGCATTAGGTATGAGTTGGGGTGAGGGGTTCGGAATGAATTGGGATGTGTAGCTCGGCTATTCGTCTTGTCGCATGAGGGTCGCACGCGATTTTGGTGGTGCCGAACCACCCAATGTGGTCCCTCAACGGCCAACATGAATGCGTTTGAGGCTCCCAATGGCCAAGATGACCACTTTTTAGTGCTCGCGAAGTGCTACCGAACAGGGCCATTGCTGTTGGGCTGAGAAAAGCCCTTAGGATCTTTGCAGGACTAAATTATGAGTAGGACAATTTAATAGCGGAAGCGTTTAATGAGAAGTTTGTGAACCACCTTGCGCTGGTATGTGAGGGCAAAGTAGATTGATTAAAACAAAGAGATACAAGCTTTTATAAGAGTACAAGGGAATATGAAGGGTTATAAGTAATAACTGTTTTGCTGTTGCTGTTGCGGTTCGATATAGTGACGACTCGGGCAACTGCTCAATAGCGAGTCAGTTGTTTGTCCTTGCTATCGCGCTGTACTTGTCAGGTTAAAGGTCGCTGACCTTTGACTTTCGCGTAACCTCCAGCAGTTGTTCAACCTCCGAGGGTTGACTCACCAATGCTTCGATATGTTTCGCTTCGCTTCTGACTTGGTGTTTCGACACGACAGAGGCGCTAAATCAATTGTTTCCAACACTCCCCTTCGCTTCTGGAGTGTCGCTGCTGGTGATATGGCTTTGTCAGTCAGCAGCATGCAGTACTCGAACTTCTGCTTCACGAGCTTCTTGGTCAAGTAATCAGCTGCCATCTCGAACGTGGGACAGTAAGACAGCTCGAGTCTCCCCTTCTCGATCTCGTCCTTCACGAACAAATATGGCAGGGCGATATGCTTCGTCCTGTTCGCGAATCCATTTTTGTTGGCTATGCGAATTGCCGACTGGTTGTCGCAGAACAGGGAGAAGCTGGGTAACTGAGCCAGCTTCGCCTCCTCCAGAAGTTCGCGAAGGTACAGTCCTTCCTTAGTGGCTGAGCAGAGTGCGATATATTCTGCTTCAGCTGAAGAGAGGGCGATTAACTCCTGCTTGCTTAACTGCCACGAGATGGGTCCGATAGGTTCGAGGCGATAGATGTAGCCGGTGCGTGAGCGTCTATTGTCGGAGTCGCTGGCGTGATCAGCGTCGACGTAGCCGATTAGTTTAGTCGTTGTAGTTCCGTTCTTGTGGTAGGTTAAGCCGACGTTTGGAGTGCTGACGAGGTAGTGGAGAGCGCGGTCGAGTTCCGCCATGTGTTCTGCTTCAGGTTTCTTGAGGTAGGTCCCGAGCTGACTTGCGGAGTACGATAGATCCGGACGACAGGTGACAGCTGCGAAGAGGAGGCAGCCCAGCTTTCTCTGGTAGTCGCGTATGCCTGCGGGCTTGAGCAGAGCGGACCTTTCCTTGTGATTTCTTGCGGTGTAGCGGTAAGACGTGGAGATGGTGATAGGGGTGAGTCCGAAGCGTTTGGCGATAGTGTCGGCATATTTCGCGGCGTTGAGGTAGATCGCGCCTTCTTCTTCCTGGATGTTGAGGCCGAGATACTGCGTGACGATAGATGACAATGTGAGAGTGAGGTCCTGCTGCAGTTCTCCTTTGAACCAAGTAGTGACGCTGTCAGTCGAGCCGATGTAGAGCAGGTCGTCCACGCAGACGATCAGTAGGATGTAGTCGTCGCCTTTCGTGAGCCGAT